ATTTTTTAGTAAATTTATCATATCATGTACTGAACTTCTTATTTCAGTTAGCTGTTTATATTCTCTTTGAATTAATTTAAGAGTTTATTTTTATACTGTTTTGTTTTATTAAACATTATTTTCATTCCCCATCTTGAATTTCATCTAATTTATTCTCATTTGGAGCCATTTATAATTTTTTGGGGGGTGTAGTACTGTGTGATTTTCACGTTTCTTTCTTTCTTTCTTTTCTTTTTTTCTTTTTTTTTTTTTTTTTTGGCTTTTCGAGACAAGGTTTCTCTGTGTAGCTTTGCGCCTGTCCTGGAATTTACTCTGTAGCCCAGGCTGGACTCGAATTCACAGAGATCCGCCTGGCTCTGCCTTCATGTTTCTTAATTACCAAATTAAGACTTATGGATCTGTGGTTATTTTATTTATTGGAGTTTTTATCAGCTGTATCCTTTAATTACTTGTAATATTTAAATGGGGCTAGATTGTGGTAGAGTGGAGGTGCATAGTTCAGAAGTCCTCAGCTTATGTGCTCAGGGCACACTCTTTACTACTTCTAGAGTATAGTATTAATTGCAAAAGCAACCATAAATGCTGGGTAGGTCTACAACACAAACATCATGCTAGCTAGTTAAATATAACTTCAATAACTACCGGAGGATCAATAAGCCAGGATGGTATGACTAGGATATTAGTTACTAGGATTAAGAGTGGAGGGACTATAGGCTGAATAAGGCTAGGTATCAGTATAGGAAAAAATGTGAGGGAGGAAAAATATCTGGGAAGGGAAAGTCGGGCAATTTTCAGAATTTAAGGTTTTGGAAGGTTATAGTGAGTAAGTAAAAGTGGAGTGGATATGGGGAAGAGAGAAAGAGAATGAGAGGGAAGCTGCATGGGCTGAATGTAAGGATTCAGAGTAGAAAATGTCAGAATGGGTGGAGAATATCATAGAACAATCATACAGCCTAACCACACACAGTACAACTAAAGCAAGACCATTCCAAGACATTTTTGCAAGAGTACAGACTAAGAAATGAAAACAAAACAAAACAAAACAAAACCCCAAAACCCAAAAACAAAATGACTAATGTACAGTAAGAGTAGACTGAGGTATAAAAAAAATCACATCGGACATATTTTATTTTTGGTAGAATGAGTTTTGAATTCTTTCCCTCACTGGTATTTCATGTACTATAGTGTGCTGATGGGAGAGGTTTAACTACCAATCTCAGTTCACACTATTAGATTGGGGGATGTACTGCCTAGTTTGGACCAATTACCTTTTGTACTAAATTTTTGGCACAACCGTGCTGAGTTAAGCAGTGAATTTTCTCAGTTCCTTCCCTCACCAGATTTTGGTTCAGTAGTACAGTGGTGATAGCGTTCCCCAGTGTTTTAAGAAGACGGCAAATACAACACCTTGTTGCTCATTTCCATTGACCTCAGTGGCAGCCTTGAGAGCCTGTCTCATGCTTGTTTCTGATTTTGTTATTTAGGTCTGTGTCTTAAGTTAGGATGTCTATTATTGTGAAGACCATGACCATGGCAACTCTTATAAAGGAAAACATTTCACTGAGGTGGTGGCTTAGGGTGTCAGAGGTTTAGTCCATTATCATCATGGCGGGGCGTATGGCTGTCTGCAAGCAACACGGTGCTGGAGAATTCTACAGCCTGATCCAAAGGCAAGAGGAAATGGACTGTCTCACTGGTGTGGCCTGAGCGTATATATGAGCTCTCAAAGCCCACCTCCACAGGGACACACACACTTCTTCCAACAAGGCCACACCTTCTAATAGCGCCACTCCCCTTGGGGGCCATTCTCATTCAAACCAGCACAGGCTTGAACTGAGATGCTTATGTTACTCATTTGCTTGTTTGCATACAGTTTGAAGTTACTGGTCATTTTACAAGAAGATTTTTGAATTCTTTGTTCAGTATTTTACTTACTATATTTAGATTAGATAATTAAGGAGTTATGATCTTATGGGTGCTCCCTTGCCTTTTCATGTTTCATCTACTGTTATGGATATCTCTTGATGGCGTAATCTCCATTACCACCCACTAAGGAGAAAACAAATGGCTTTACCAGCTAGAACACTAAATCAAAACAGATGGGAAATATACTTAAAATTGATTGACACTAATATACCGTCAATGACCACAAATCAGAAAAGGGCAAAAGTAATGTATAATCCATTATACATGTGTAAGTTAAAACCTTAGGGTAAATATAAAAATAGTAAATTACTGACATGAGAGGAGCCTGGGAAGGGGAGAAAGAAGAGACACAAGTTTAAATGGCAGAGAGGAAAAGGAGTACAGAAATACATTGTGAAGTGGGGAGGGAAGAGCGGAGAGAAAAACATCTAAAGAAAAAGGATAAATACAAGGCCCCAAACATCCACAAGCAAAAGAAAACCACGAAGACAAACTATTGGAGCAGCTTCTTTCCGGTCCTCTAACGTGTGAAAGGCAGTGTGCAGCTGAACGTGGAGTCCCGCTCTGTCCTAAGATTAGGCTAGTGGTGAGCCTGTGCTAGCCAAGGGTCAACACGCCCCAAGCGGTCTTTGCCTAGGATCTTTGCTTTTATTGTACACCAGGAGCCTCTCTGGCCGCAGGTAGCACTGTACATGTAGGCCAGGTAGACTCTTCCATGTTCCAGAAATTCCACAGTCTGAACAACTTGGCACAGCTATTGCCTAAGCCAAATAGTGTTCCCAAGTGTTTGGAGGAGTAGGAGACAAACAGAGCACTGAAGTGTCATTCAGAGGACTAGTCTTAGTGCTTTCGAATCCCATTAAAAATTACTCTCTACGAGAGAGGAGGCTGCAGAAGCTGCGGGCTGACTTTTGGTATTCTCTAGCTTGTCAGAGGGTAAGTCATGTGCCTAGCTGTGGCTCTAAGAGTTGGAGAATGGGCTAACCTCAGGCTCAAGGTTGCTAGTCTCCACTACTTATCCTCAGAGATGGCTGTCTTCTAGCCAAGGAAGATTGACCATCATATTCTTTACGGTTGGAATCTTATGCTGTCTGAACTTGTCAGTGGGTCCAGCCCTTCCTTATTGCCTCCACAGTTCTTTTTCATTCAAGAGACAGGGCAGGTCGTTTTCAGGCTCTCTGCACTGTAATTGTTACTCCCTGGGTTGTTTCTAGGCTGTCCTGCCCTATTACCTGTTTTGTAAGTTCTCACGTTCTAACCTTTCTCTTTCTGGAATAGACTCTTTTATTATCCTGATTATTATTACTATTATTATTATTATATTACTCATGTGTCATGGAAAGGCAGCTTCTAATTTAATATCTCAGCTGTGTTTTCCTTTATCTCCTTCCCTTCCCTTTCTTTTCTGTGGTTCCAGGGATGAATCCAGGGCCTTGTGCATGCTAAGCAATAGCCTTGACTTTTTTTTTTTTGGTTGAAGAGGGCAGTAACCCACGCTGAGCTCCAATTTGCAAGCCTCCTGCCTCAGTCTCCAGAACATTTATTGGATTACATCTGACTTTCCATGCTTTTTAATGATAAAAGTATCACCAAAATAATGTAAATTCTTTTAGCTAAATGAGAAAGATATAATCTCAACTCATCTGAATATTGTCTGACAGTCCCAGGAAGGTTCTTTTTAATTAAAAACAGTCTCCCTGAGCCGGGCGGTGGTGGCGCACGCCTTTAATCCCAGCACTCGGGAGGCAGAGCCAGGCGGATCTCTGTGAGTTCGAGGCCAGCCTGGGCTACCAAGTGAGTTCCAGGAAAGGCGCAAAGCTACACAGAGAAACCCTGTCTCGAAAAACCAAAAAAAAAAAAAAAAAAAAAAAAAAACAGTCTCCCTGTGAAAACACTGTATCTTCCACATTAGCTCCTGCCATTTTTCCATGTCATTCCCCATTAATATTGTTTTCTATCTTATTGGTTCCTTCTATTAATCCTGTAAATATATTTCTTTATTTGAAGAAAACAAACACAATCCTTCATTTACCTCCACTGCCTTATCTATTTTCTTTTAACTTTGCAACAAAACTCCTTATGTGAATGCACTATGCAAAACTACCTCTTCCCTCTCAGAAAATTTCGGATTTTGTTCACAGAGAAATCCTGAAACAGCTCTATATATTACACAGTCTACTAATTTCAATGTTTATTCTTGTTTTAGTCACTGTTCTACTGCTGTGAAGAGACACCATGATCATGACAACTCTTATAAAGAAAAGCTTTTAAGTGTAGCTTGCTTACAGCTTCAGAGGTTTAGTTCACTGTTATCATGGCAGGAAGCATGGCAGCATGCAGGCAGACATGGTGCTGGAGAAGGAGCTGAGAGTTTGACCTCTGGATCCACAGACAGCAGGAAGAGAGAGAGACACTGGACCTGGTTTGGGCTTTTGAAAGCTCAAAGCCCAAACCTAGTGACACTTCCTCCAATAAGGCCACACCTCCAAATCCTTTCAAAAGTACCACTACTTTGTGACCAAGCATTCAAATACATGAGCCTATGGGGGCCATTCTCTTTCAAATTACCACAATTCTTTTTGATTGGACAATTTGTCACTCTTCTTAGAGTGGCACTTTTCATTTGTTCCTTAACTAGATTCTGAACCACAGACCACAGACATTCTTTTGGATCGGCAATTTTCAAATATACCCTCTTATAGAGCAAAGCAAGAACACAACTCCAGAAGCATCTGTTCTTTCAGCTTCTGCTTCTTTAGCTACTATACAATTTGCCCCTCAACATTTTTTGTCATATTATACTGAATGGCCCCTTGGTCCATGAAAAAGTAAGTTTTTAGATTAAGAAGTATTATAGAGTCCCTCTTTACCTCAATAAAGTACACACATACACAGAGCAAATGTATGGAAAACAAGAGGGCATAAAATTCTTCAGCTAAGAAAATGGAGACAAAGTATATTAGCATATAAAACCTAACCCAACCAAATACAATGAGACAAAGTATATTAGCATACAAAACCTAACCCAACCAAATACAATTCATTAATATATATATTATGTGAATGATACTAACCCTTTGGATACTCCAGCTCTGTCATTAACAATCTTCACTTCTTTTACAGACCCATACTGGGAAAAAAATTTTCTTAAATCATTTTCATTTGTCTAATGGAATAAAAAGAAAACATTAAAAAACATTTTAATCAATAAAAGATAAACAACTCCAATGCTTGTTGTGGAGACATAAAAAATATAGAAAACAAGTTAGAGTATCTCTCATTAAAAAATAGGCAAAAACATTGTTACTAAAATCTATGTACTTTGCTTTACGTAGTAGCTAAGTAGCGATTTTAAAGTGAATTATTCTAAACCTGCAAAGAATGCTAACTATGTAAAGGAATCTTTTAGTGACTTTAAGAATGCTAATGCTGGATTACATATCCTAAACCCATAGTTTGGCTGCATTACTGTTGCCTCTAGTATTTGGGGAGGGCAGCAATTCCAGCAGTGAAACCAAGTCATAATGGCCTAATCCAGTCACTTTATGGTAATCAACACAGTCTTTAGGAAGAATCAGGCCTTAGGAAAGGAATATATTTCCCTCAAATATTTGAATTTGCCATAAGAAGTTACAAAGTGACTATAATATTTCAAATTACAAGGTATTTTATCTGTACTCAACACATATTTTGGCTAACTACAGACATTATGAGGATACAATAAAATAGGTATAATAGATACAACGTTCAAGATGTGTACAAAGATGGTTTGGGAATATCTGGTACAGAGAAGACAACAAGAGCTAGTCCCAGGGTATTTATGGTGAATTCATGGCAATTTGAGTTTTGGGTTCGGTTGCAACTGTTTGCTTCTAAGTGTAACTTTAAACTTACCTAAAGGACAATCAAAAGATGTCTTAGAGCACAGCCACTCATTTTGAGTTCAACTGTCACCTCACTTACTTAAATACACAATTTATTATTTTGGATGATAACATTCAGCCTGCTAAATTGGACAATGACAAACACTAAATCTAAGAATATGTGAATTACTTTTATTCTAATAACAGAACTTCTAAAAATGGAATCAATGCTAGAATGGGAACTGCCATCAGATATTTAAAAAAGTTAATGCAGACTATTCTCTGGAGAGGAGTCACTACCTCAGTCACACTCACAGAGCAAGGGGAAAGTCAAGATGACTAAACCTGCAGAGGGACAGTCTGGAACAGTCTGACACTGCTACTATAGCAGATTATTTCCTCACAGGCAATTATTTGTAGTTTTGAAAAAGATATTCCTCACGGGAAAGAATTCTGTTACCTGAATGCTCTGGGTGCATAGAAACAATGACCTCTAAGATTCATTCCTATCACCCTTCATGTGCTTTAGTGACTTACATGAAATGTATTTATGGAATACTTACTTTCAAAGTTCACTAAGAAGTTTAATATGAATGAATTCTAAGCAGGAATATCCACATGTTCCATAGGTACAGAAAGTCTTTCAAAGGTATTTTATAAAGCATATTTATTTATAGTGAAACAATCACATACTTAAGAATCATTATTTTGGCAAATACACTAAGGATAACATTTTTCTTAAGTAAAAGAAAAAGTAATTTTACCTAAATTGTGATAGAGTACATGGAAGTAAGTGTCAAAAATCACACATAATGGCACCTTTTATCACAGAAGGCATCTCTCTGTATAATTTCTAATAGAAATGTTTTTTTTCCCCCATGAGACAGGGTTACTTTGTGTAGCTTTGTGCCTTTCCTGGAACTCTGTAGCCCAGGCTGGTCTTGAACTCACAGAGATCCGCCTGCCTCTACCTCCTGAGTGCACCACCACCGCCTGGCTTTAGAAATGCTTTTATAAATCCATTCGGAAGAGAAGTGTGAATGTGTACATGATTGAACTTAGGGCCTCTACAAGCAAGGCAAACCTCTACCTCTGAGTTATATCCTCAGCTCCAGTAAGGGTATCTGATTAAAAATATCCACGAATACCTTTCCTGTACATATCTATTACTACCTCTTATGCAGGAATACTGAAAATAATTTCAACTATGCTTTTCTGAAAGAATGAAATACCTGATGAGCTGATTAAGCACACTTTTGTACAGATTCTCTATTTGGACTACAAAGCCTTTTAAATGATCAGATTATAAATCCTATTGAAGAGAGTTATTTGTAAGAAATTGAAGTCTAGGACATGGCTTAGGAAAGCAAGATAAAGGCTGGGATAAAGATACAGGGTTTGGGGGCTGGAGAGATGGCTCAGTGGTTAAGAGCCTTGCCAACTCTTTCAGAGGTCCTGAGTTCAATTCCTGGCAACCACATGGTGGCTCACAATCATCTATAATGGGATCTGATGACCTCTTCTGGCATGCAGGTGTACATGCAGATAGAGCAACATATACATAAAATAAATAAATCTTAAAAAATTTCATATATATGTGCATATATACATATACACACAGGGTTCTACAAGACTAAAATATTTACATTAAGTTTTCATTTGAAAATTGAAATAATCTATCATTTAGGCAACTGGAGCATCATGTAAGAAAGTATAACAAGTATGCTGAAAAACGAAGAATATTGAGCAATAATGAGAAAATTAGATTAAAGAAAGGTAGATTTCCATCATTAAGTAACAAGGGGCATACAGCAATTAAAGAAGCCTCAATTTCCTTGTATGTGAGATTGCCCAAGTATACACATGTAAATTAACCTACACAATTGTTTAAAGGGTTATCTGTATTGAAATGTGAAGCCTATTAACCAATACGCAAATATAATTTTTATAGTCCTAATAGGAAATACCTGCTGGAAATTGAACTATTCAGTTGTAAAGAAAAACAAAACTCCTTTCCTTTCCCACCATGTTGCACCCACAAACAGATACCTTAAAGTCAATTCCTCCTACGAAGATGCGGTTAGGGATCACAGTTCCGTATCTTGGGGCACTTGTTGGGTTATTCAAAGGCACAGGTGACACAGGATTAGGGGATGGAGATAATGAATCTGTTTGCGTCTGATTTGTTGTCTGCTGTAAAATAAAGTCATTTTAAACTTTTAGCACTGGGCATGAGTTTTAATGCAGGGCCATCAAAACAGTCATCTAGGCAAAATGCCATCTACTAGACTTGACTTTTATTCTAAGATTATGAAAACTAGAATTAGTTTTGGGGGGGGAATAAAAATGAAACAAAGTACTTCATGCTAGAGAAGAGCTTATATTAGATGTACTGCTCAAATATACTTACAATAACTATGAGGTATGCTGTTTGTTAAGGAAGAACAATAAGTAAGCTGGGCAGTGATGGCACACACCTTTACTCTCAGCACTTGGGAGGCAGAGGCAGGTGGATCCCTGTGAATTCAAGGCTAGCCTGGTCTAGGGAGTGAGTTCCAGGACAGCCAGGGCTATACAAAGAGAAACCCTGTCTCAAAAACAAACAAACAACAACAAAAAACAACCCACCAACCAACGAACAAACAAGCAACCCCCCTCATAAGCATTCATTTCATAGAAAAGTCAGAGAGGGAGAAAAGAAGACCCAGATGGCTGGGAGATGCTCTGTCCCAGCCATTTTATCCAGGCGTGAAAAGCCTGGCACTCACAGTTAGGCAGTGATGTTCTTTCATTAAAGAACATCAACATCAGACAAGGGCACTATAATTACGATAGATCAAGATAAAAAGAAGCATTCTTTAATCATGTCTGAAATACTGATAAAAACAAAAACACTGTCCAAACCATGAGAATTACCAAATATTGCTTTATCCTAGATAATATGAGCAACTGCTTCTCCTTTATCAATCTTATTTTTAAAATAATAATTAACACAATCATAGAAATATTCCCATTTCCTCACAACATGCATTCCAGGTAAAGCCTTTCTATATGAAATCCTTTTTAAAAGCCTATATTGTATAAATGAAGTTATTAATGCCTGAGAGGACCCACGGTGTACTTTCTTCCTAGTTCCAATGAATTTACAGACACAACTCAATTACAGATGTGTTCTTGGTAGTCTTTGGCTAAAGAACACTGACAGGTTAATAAACTTGGATAGTGTTAGCCTGAAAGTCAAAACTGTAAATGCATGTATCTATTTGAAAATTAGAGTTATCTTTACAAAACACACACCTAGCTGGGCACAGTGCTGCACCCCTCCAACCCTGTCCTCAGGAGGCAGAAGCAGGCCAGCCTGGTCTGCACAGTTCTAGGCCAGCCAGGGTTGATCAGTGAAAAATTTACAAACCTGAACATTATGAAAAACATTAAATACCTAAAAACTTAATTATACATTTTCATGACAAAGAATTGAGCTCAGGACATATCCATTATGTTCATACTTCTAAATTGGAAGGCTTAATGTATCAATATCAGTGTAAAAGACTTTGCATAATGGCAACCAGAAAGACTTGCAATGTAAAATGAAAGGAAAAATAAAGAAACACACACACACACACACACACACAAAAAGCTAATATTACTTTCTTTCTGGGAAGACTAAACAGACGTTTGAGACAGTTTAAGTCCTTCAAAAATACTAAATACTAAAGTTCATAATTTGCTGAGAAACATCACAATGAAGTTTTAATTTAGACAGTAGGGTTGTTCTTTTCTATTATTTGTCCTTTTCCATTTTGTTGGACAACAGAACCACTATTTTAAACGTCCATGTGATTAAAATAAAAAAGGCAAATTCCCTGTCCTCATGAATAGTAAGTATCATAGTACAAAGTAACAGATAAATATACGGTATTTTAGAGAATGGAAGGAAACAGATGAATAGTAATATGTAATACTATTTCAACAAAGGAAATCTAATTGTAAACATTACCAACGATATTCTAGAAAACACTGTACCAGAGAAAATCTTCTAGCTCCAATAGATAAAACCTTGTTTCTTATTTATTTATAATATAGAACTTGTTAATTAAAAAAAAGTCTTCAGAAAATTCTCTAAAAACAAAGGACTTCAATGGAAGTTCTAGTTTGTCCTCAAGTTTAAGTAAGAAGACAAACTCCATAATTTTTCTCGTGAGAGGTGGATGAAAACAGTCCCAAATGAAGAGACTTCAGGTTAGTCAATGAGAAAAAGAAAAATATTGATAAAACAAAACCAAAACCAACCCATTCACTTCATTCCCTTGTTTTAAAGGCTCCTATTCTGTTGTGGATGTTATCTGCTTACTTTTTTTTTTCTTTTACTATTTGCCACCTTCTACTATAACATCTATTTACCTGTCACTTTGCACTACGATACAATATCCACGTGGGCAGGAAGTTTGCCTATATCTACATATTTAAAACACTACAACCTGTAAACCAGTAACATCACACAGCAAGTGTTCGATGGGTGTTTGCTGAATTGTACGAACAAACAGATCATTGCTTCGGGAGAAACCTGCTTCGCATGTGCTCAACATTTGGGTAAGGACCGAAGTACCAGTCATATTCTAGAACACCTTTGACTGTTCGCAGCCACAAGGCTCGGGGAGAGGTGGCATGGACGTTCCCTCGAGATCAGCCGTGGCTCGAAACCGGGGACACCTCTAATTGTCCACCGTTTCACAGCATGGGGGCCGGGGCTGCTCCCGGGTTGTTAGTATGGGTCCCTCGGCTTCGTGGTCAAGCCTGACCCCTCAAGCGTTTATTAAGTCCGAGGGCCTCCCCGCCTCCTTCTCTGGGGCTTAGCCTAGAACTGGACCATTATTTTTTTTTTTGCAGAGACCGAAGGGAAGAGGTGGGGGCTAACCGTCGCAGTCACCGCCTCGGTGCTCCTTCCCCGGGGAGGCCAGCAGGTCGAGGCGATGGGGGGCATGGCCGAACTGACAACGTCCCCGGCTTCTCTCGGGTCATCGTGAAGCGAGGCGCCGACGCGAGGGTCCCCCCCCTCCCCACCAAAGTGCGGGAGGGAAAAGAAGGCCAGCCAGCGAGAAATTTTGCCAGGCAAACCCGCCAGCCGCGGTGGCGGGAACCCTCAACGGCACGTACCACGCGCCGGGGCCGCCTGGTGCTCGGCCTCGTGCGCAGCAGGCCCGCGGGGGCGGGGCCTCCCCGGCTGGCGCCTGCTGATTGGCTGTCGGCCGGCACGGGGGCGGGGCGGGGTGGGGCGGGGCGGCACGTTACCAGGCTCCGCAGGGGGCAGCCGGTGCCAGCGCCCGCGGATTGGCTGCCGGGCGGGACGGGGGCGGGGCGGCACGTTACCAGGCTCCGCAGGGGCCCGTAGGCCCCGGGCCCGGGGGCCCCAAGCTTGAGCGGGGGGGGGGGGGGGGGAGGGGGCGCGTAGAGACCCCCCCCCCTCCCCCCCGGCCTTCCCCAGCTCAGGGCCTCCCCGGGGCGGAGCATCGACGGCCACACGACGGCTGGCCGCGGGCTACGAGAATGTGTCCCCGACAGGGCGGGCGGGCGGGCGGGCCAGCGTCGAGGGCGCCGCAGTTTTGGGCGGGAAGGCGTTTCAGGGCTGCCCGCTCGTTGGGCACGGAGGGCTGAGCCTCCCTCGCGGTCCCCGGCCGTTTCCCGCCCCCCCACCCGCGCTGCCCACCCGCCCCCCCCGGGAGTCGGGACCCCAGGCCAGCCCCCTTCACACAACCCCGACGGGCCGCACCGCCTTCCCTCCCAACCGAACAGAAGCGAGCGTTTGGGCGGCTCCAAAGCACACCCTTCCAGCCCCGCAGGGACCCGCACCCCGGGCCCCGGGGACCCCGAGCACTCACCGCCCGGGATTCGGTCTCCATCTTTCCCCCTCCGCTCTTCAGAGAGGCAGGAGGCGCGGGGACGTTCAAGTTGGAAGGCGCGTTCCGAGGAAGCGGAGGAGCCGGCGGCGCGTCTCCCGTCGGGGACTCGCTCCCCCTGGCGGCGGCGGCGGCGGCGGCTGCAGCGGCGCAGTCGTCTCCGAGCCGGGCGAGCTTGGCCTGGGGGGCGGGGGAGGGCGAGCGGTGCTGAGGGGGGGGGGGGAGGCGGGCTGTGCGGGGGGCGGAGGAGGCGCTGTGCGCAGGTCCTCCCGCCCGGGACAGCCGGGATGGACGGCGCGCACTGTCCGGGACCCGGGACGGGCGTGGGATGCTCTCGCCTTCCCCGAAGCCGCCCTTCCAGCTCTGGATGAGCTCACCTTGACCCTGTGCTCCAGCGCCGCCGCCCACGGGGGACTTCCCGAAGGCTGGTTCGAGGACAGGAAGACAGTTTCCACGTGCAAACCCGGCTCCCCCTCCCGGGCCGCGGCGCGGCGCACGCAAAAGCGGTGGACGGGAAGCAGCACCTGCCGTCGTCGCTGTCACTCACCCCTGCCAGGGAGGGCGGGGCAGCCGTCCAGGCCACTGGTAGGGTAGCTGTGCTGCGCTCCTGAGAACAGGAGGGGCCGGGAGCCGGGCCAATCCGTTTAATCCCAGCACTTGGGAGGCAGAGGCAGGGGGATCTCTGTGAGTTCAGGGTCAGCCTGGTGTAGATAGCGAGTTCCAGGATAGTTAAGGGCTACACAGTGAGATCCTGCCTGACACCCAATCCCTCTCCCCCCACCCCTCAAAAAGGAGACAGAGCTGGAGGGAATCAGCTTTGCGATCTCCTTCGAAGGACTGCTTTGCAAGGACCATCTCTAAACGTTTGCCGAGAGCCCATCTCATCTCTTAAGTACTGTGTAATTCCAGTTAGACAAACTCACATAATAAGGATTGCCATTGTGAAAAGCGACCATCCGTCACGGGCTCATTTTGTTTCAGGCCATTGCTTTATTTATGGTCACTTCACACACCAATCCTCCCGATGGATTCACCTGGTGTCAAGGTCTAAAGCTATAGGAAATTTAACCCGAGGAGTCTGCAACCCGAGTTCTCCATCTTACGGGGTTGGCAGTGTTTTTAAGCTGTCAGCATCAGCCAGTGTTAGAAGTTAACGTCTGGGATAACCTGCGTACTCTGAATTGTAAAATTTGTCCTCAAAATAAGCAGCAACGATATTAGTGGTAATATGTCCAAAGATTAGTTATCAAAAAAAAAGTACCTAAAAGCTTAGCTATTCATCACAGATGAGAAACAACTTTTGTTAATTTTAGGTGAAGCGTCCTAAAAGTTGTCGTACATTTCTGGACGCAAAACTTATTTTCTCAGGTTTTAGTTTCTGTGGAAAAGGAAAATAGAAATGTATTTAGATTTTAAATGCATATTCTAGAATTGACCTTTGCTGTGGGATGGTCTGTATGTCAAATGTGTTGCTGATTGGTCAGTAAATAAATCACTGATTGGTCCATGGCCAGGCAGGAAGTATAGGCGGGACAAGGAGGAGAATAGAGCTGGGAAGTGGAAGGCTGAGTCAGAGAGACACTGCCAGCCGCCATCAGGACAAGGAAGATGTAAAGTACCGGTAAGCCACAAGCCATGTGGCAAGGTATAGATTAATAGAAATGGATTAATTTAAGCTGTAAGAACAGTTAGCAAGAAGCCTGCCACGGCCATACAGTTTGAAACCAATATAAGTGTCTGTGTTTACTTGATCGGGTTTGAGCGGCTTGGGACTGGCGGGTGAGAGAGATTTGTCCTGACTGTGGGCCAGGCAGGAAAGCTCAAGCTACAGACCTTTGGAAATTCCTCCCCTCCCCAGTAGTATTGAGGGATCTGAGTAGATAATACTTCTTTTCTGCCCAAGTCTTTCTCTTTCCTACTTAGTAAAAGTAGTTAACTTTTGAAGGTTGCATCTTCTGAAAAGAGGTAACCGTCACAGGAGGTATTTGGTGCGGCATAATGAACAAAATGGAGAGGGAATAGTGACTGTGTCCCAAGGACTGTATTAGTGTTAGGGACAATGCCACACTTCTCTGTTCAGTTTCTCTTTACTTTTTTTTTTTTTTTTTTTTTTTTTTTTTTGGTTTTTCGAGACAGGGTTTCTCTGTGTAGCTTTGCGCCTTTCCTGGAACTCACTTGGTAGCCCAGGCTAGCCTCGAACTCACAGAGATCCGCCTGGCTCTGCCTCCCGAGTGCTGGGATTAAAGGCGTGCGCCACCACCGCCCGGCTCTCTTTACTTTTTAATCCAAAAACAACTTTAAAAAACTGGGCTAAATCACACAAAATTATATGATCCAATTCAGTAGACAAATGTAGAGTTTTTATACATAGCACCTAACGGGATAATGCTACTAGAAGGTAAAGTTCAAACATTAGCCCTCAAGGCATTCTGAAGGTAGAAGAGGCCAGACATGGCGGTTTGTGTCTGTATTCCCAGTTACCTGTGAGGCTGAGGCAGGGGGATCTCTTGAGCTCACAGCTTGAGACCAGTCTGGGTAATATAAGACAGCATCTCAATAAATATATTAGAAGGGGAGAAAAGACCAATTTGTATAAATAGTAATTATATCTAAATATGCTTACAATAAATAAGATACAAGTGAAATAAGATAAAAGGTCCGTGAACTACAATTAAATGCCGTGGGAATGCAAATGATAACATCATGGCGTACAGTGGCAGGGCCGAGAAAGGTCATAATTAAGACTGGAATGCTGTTCTGGGAGGAAATCTGAGGAAAAGTTCTCAGTACGGTCTTATAAAATCTTTTTTTTTGTTGTTTTTTTTTGTTTTTTTTGATCAGACAGGGTTTCATATTGTGGCCTATCTGGCCTAGAACTATATAGCCTAGGCTGGCCTGTAACTCATGGCAATTCTCCTGCTTCAGTACTTGATTGCTGCAATTACAGGAGTGTGCCCACCATACCCAGGGTTTCTATTAAAATCTCATTAAAAAATTTAAAAGTAATTATGTTCTCTCTCTCTCTCTCTCTCTCTCTCTCTCTCTCTCTCTCTCTCTCTCTCTCTTTACAGGGAGTGTGTGGACCCCAAGATGGATCTCAGGTTGTCTGGCTTGGTGACAATGCCATTACCCTCTGAAGCACCTTGTCAGCCATAGCTTTGCCCTTCTTTGTCTTACTGTCTCTTTCCTGCTGGAACTTGAGTCTTAGGCAAAAGTGACTCTTGTCTCATTGTTAGTGAGGGTTGGGTGCAGTTTTCAAAACTTAATTCTATTTGTACATTCTTCTCTGTTATTTATACATTAGAAATAAGGAGTTACAATTTCATTCTGGGGACCTTCGCAAATTAGAGCTATTGAAGATAACTAAGAGGTTATCTAATCAGTGGCAAACTTACGAAGATAATCTGTTAGGATTTGGGTCTTGACTGTCCACCGAAGCTCATGTGTCGCAGGTTGGTTCCCAGCTGGCAGAGCACAGGAGGTGAAGGGAAATTTAGGCGGAGGGACCTCAGGGAAGGAAGTCAGGTGGTTAGGGACATGCCCATAAGTGGATACCGGGACCTTGCCCTCTTCTCATTGGTTTCCTGCTACTACGAGGCGAAAGGCTTTCCTCCAGCCATGTTCTCCATCCTGTGTCTTGCTATAATCGGCCCACAATGATGGGGCCAAGAGACCAAGGACTGAGATACCCGAAGCTGAGTCAAATCGATCATTCTTTGTATTTTAGGTGTTTTGTCACAGCAAGGAAAAGCTAACATCCTCAGCCCAGAAGAGATTCGGAGAGTTAGTGGCTGGAGACACATTGTTGAATTAGGAGAAGAAACAGCTCAAGTGAAAACTGTACTTGTTACCTCAACACACATGACAAGTTTTAGATATTAGAGATGGCATTGACAAAGTTAAACTATGCAATATATAGCACTGTATATCGGGACTGGGCAGATGGCTCAGTTGGTGGAGGGCTTGCCTTTCTAGCGTGAAAATCTCAGCATGCATCCCCAGCACTCACATAAAACATGCGGTAATCTCAGTATAGAGACACAGAGACATAAGGATCCCTGGGGCCTGCTGGCCAGCCAGGTTAGCTGGAGCTACAAACTTCAGGCTTCATGAGAGACTGTCTCAGACAGTAAGGTAGAGAACAATTGGGGGAAAACACCCGGATTTGGATTCTGGCCTCCCATGTTCCACAGGTATATGCACATACATATGCACATACACATGCATGTATACACACCAGTATAATATATTGCACTTTACAAACCTTAGTATCTCACTTGTTTCAGTTTCTCCTAGGATCCAAATGCTTTTCATTTTTTCCCATCAGTCTGTTCAGACCATAGTCTGTTTTTTGATTCTAACAAATAACACAGGTAATTTAGTGAAATAATGAAAGAGTTCTATTTTGAGTTACGGTTTTGGAGGTCCAAGGTCAAATGCTGCATCTGGTTATGGCAACCTTGCAGGGAGAGAATCCTGAGGTAGTGCAGGACATCATACAGCCAGGGGCAGTAGTGTGTGTGTGTGTGTGTGTGTGTGTGTGTGTGTGTGTGTGTGTGTATGCATGCATGAATGAATGTTTGTGCACACTCAGTGTAGCCATGTAAGAGGTGCCAGGTACCAGAAGTAGCGCAGACCAGGGAGTGATTTAGTTTGGTAGATAGAAACCACATAAAAAGACACATTTAAAAGATGTCTCTGCTTTCTTTTAAAAAAATTTCTCTTGTGACTAAATGTGTCAACTATTTTTCTGGGGGGATTGTTAGGTGTCTTATTTTTTTCTGCGATGATTGGGTGTTTGAAATAGAAGAGATGAGAAGCAGAGGTTGTAGGAAGCAAAGGGGCCAAGTCAGATTCCTCTACGGGGAACATGGTACTGACTTTTGCAGAGGGTGTTATAGAAATGATTAAGACGAGAGCATATCAGACTTATTGGAAAATTCATTATAAAAATTAATTTTGCTTTTTATCATGAGTCTGGATGGACACGTGAGTTGGACACA